TTTCATAGCCTTTTGCAGCAATTTCATGTATCTCCATTTTTTGAAGTATCTGAATGTCTTGCCCAGTACGCACCTTTTATTGAAGATAGAACTGCCGAACACAGAGAAACGTTACTTCTCTGACGAAGAAGTTGAAAATAAAAAAAAAAAATTCATCGTCATTACCGTCATCTGGAGTATAAACATCTGCAACTTCAAATTCTCCAGCACCATTATTGCCGTTAAGCATATTATCAATAATTTAAGCCCACCGGCAACACAGCGAGCTACGACTAGAATGATGACACAGAAAGAAGATTTGCCTAGGGATCCATAACAAGTATTCACGATAGATTTGGAATAAATGTGAGTTATTCAGTATTCTCTATACCTTTGTATTAATTGTTCGTGTTTTCAGCTATCAAATCAAAATATATCATCACAAACAAAAACAATATCTTTAGATCAGGCTACTGAACGATTTCTATGTAATGATGATATTAGTCGCTTTAGTGCGGATAAGAAAAAAATGATTTATGGCAAACAAATTCGTTTTTTATTAAGTCATTTAGTCAATGTTCAACAACGCTTTATTGTTGAAACAAATTATAAATGTTCTTATTCAACTTTTACACGTCATATACCACATCATATTATTACTCCAAAACCATCTGATTGGGGCACTTGTTTATGTATAGTTTGTTTAAATCCTCAACTAAAAATTGAAAAATTATTACAATCACAATCACACCGACTTCAACTTGTACCACTAAGTAATATAATAACATCAGATTTACCATTAATTGTGTCCGATTTAACAAAAATCAAACAAATAATTGATGAATTGAATAATTTAAATACTGAAAAGTTTTTGGTTACGTATCCTGAATGGTAGCGAAAAAAATCAGATAAAAGTAGTGGACCAATTTCAACAAAAGTAGTTATAACAGATAATATGGATACTTTTTGTACAAAATTGATCAAAGAATTTAATGTAAGTTTTTCTCATTGAGTGATGACATATACTTTCATTATTGATGTCGTTGTTATCATATAGGATTTGGTTAAACATATTGGTGGAGTGAAATCACAGTTTCGAGCTGCAAAACAAGCAAGAATCGATGTTGTTGAGAAAAATGATATTTTGACAATTCAGTTAGATTGGAGTGAAAACTACAATCTAAAACAAGCACGTGAAGAGCGTGGTACGTATAATACACATTCGTTTTCTAACCTACATTGGGAAAAAGATTGAGGAGCGACAGACAGACTTTTTAACTAATTACTTTTTTTACTTTATTTTTCCTATCAAGGTGCGTATTATATCGAACATCATATATCAATAGCGACTGGTTATGTGTGGAAAAGTAATGATTGATTCAGTTTTGGATGTTTACCTGATAAGACAACTCGCACAAGCGAAATTAGCTGAACAGCAATTAAAGAGTCATTGGAAGATCAAAAGAAAAGAAAATTTCATTATTAAATATTATCTCTGACTCTCCTACCAGTCAATATCGTAATAAAACCAGCATTCATTTTTTAAAATATTATGCGACACACAAACAACATACAATGCATTGGATTTTCTTCGAAGCCGGTCCCGGCAAAGGTGTTGCTGATGCAGTTGGTGCCACAACAAAACGTCTGTTTGATGATACAACTAAATTCAATCCTGATGAAACGTATTCAAATGCAATGGATTTAATGACACATACAGAAAATTCAACAAAAATCCAATTATTTTCGTATGTTAAACAAGACATTGATGAAATACGTCAACAAATACCGCCATTAGCAACCGTTCATGATACATCACTATTTCATGAAGTTATTGCTAAACCAAACGATGAAGTTTATGCAAAAAACAAATCAGATGAAGAGGAATAATTGATTAAAACGAATTTTTAAATTATAATAGTAATAACAGTAACATTGATATAAAACAATACAGTTAATAAATAATTTTGTACATAGACTGATTTTAATTGCTAAACAGCTAATTAAAAAATGCTTTAATCGATAATTAATATTTTTAATCTGGTGTTTTATCTGTGTTGTGTGCTATATGTGGTTTGTTCTTTGTTCTTATGTAAACTGGTTTTGTTTTTATTGAAATACTCGTTATTCGTTATACAAGCTCGGCGTTTAGAACAATTCAAAAAAATATATGAGTAATACACAGAGAACAAGTACATTCCAGCTCACTAAGTAGTTTGTGTATAAAACATGAGAAAAGACAACGGCAGTCTTAAAAAGACGACTGTTCACATCTCTTCGACTTATAAATGTGTCAAAATAACTTTGAATATGCTCAAAAAATTCAGCTTTTCATGAGCTTTCGATTTATATATAGCGTTAATGCTCTCAAATTTATTTACACTTTTCCTGCTCAAAAGCCATAAGAATTACTATACATTTCAGAATAACATGCAGTTGGATATTTTTCGAACGCTGATTACCGTGACAGTATTTGTTTTGCTGTCTGAATTACAGAAACTGCACGACTTGTCCAAAGGTAACGCTATGACATTTTTGACACAGTAATTTGCATTTTTCTCGAAAACTATAGGAGCTGGAAAGTTCGTTTTTGCGCCATTCGACGCGGCTCTTCTTACTCTATTTTGATTATAA